TTTTCACTCTTCTTCTTGAGAAATTTCAAGATGCCACTGTTGGTCGTTTTGACATAATTTAGGATTTAATTTTCGGCTTATTTCCTTTTTTGTCTGCTGCTCCCACTCCACAATCCCTGTTCAGGTCTTTTTTGTAGTTGTAGCCAGTTCATGGCCGGCTGTGGCCATTTGATTTTAATTGGACACTGTGTCTTTAAATTTCAAGGAGATCTGTGCGCATGCATAGTAGAACCCTCCGAGGGTGGGTCTGCGGTGTCCACTAGCTTAGGCACCCATATATGCACCAGAATGGAGGTGCTCAGACAGCAAGGGACCAGTGAACATATACCAAAAGAAAAGAATGTCAACACCTTTATCTCCGCGGTTCTGCCAGGCATTCGTGGCCGCTCCGATCCTTCCCCCGCTTGGCCTCACACAAGATGGCTGTGCCCGGAGCAGCTGAGCATCCCGGACTAGAAAGCAATGGATTTCTTGCCTCTACCACAAATTCCCCCAGCTGTAAGCCTTCCAACTTTCTAAATATTCCTTTATATGTGGTTCAGAGTTCTGGGAGCATGCCCTGAGCCTGCTGGGTCAGGTATTCTGTGTTGTTGCTGATGGAGCTCTTTACTGCACTTCCACCCGAACCGCTATCTTGTTTGTTCTCCCCAACTTGCTTATTCTTGTAGTAGCCAATCATACAGCCATTTTTGTTTTGGGACTGTATTGTCTTTAAACAGCTGATTTCTAAGCATGTGTTCTTCAGGAATTAACTGTTACAGAGAACAAATCACTTGGTAACAGATGTTTGCAGTACATGATTGATACCTATAAACTAGAAGCTACTTAGACTTTTCAACAGGAAACTAAAAGGTATTCCCTGCCACACAAAAAATGCTGCTTTGGCTCCATAAGTAGGACCCAGAAGGCTGGGTCTCTGTTTTGACATCCTTGATGATCTGTAGAGCACAGGAATTCTTACTTATTTGATTGAGGACTGTGAGACCTGGCCATCAGGCTGGGCTCCAGGCTGGCATTCTGTTTTATGTTACTTTGATTTTCCTCTCTTCCTCAGTCATAGTGCCGCCAGGTGTGTGGTTAGAATGTCTCTTTGCCTTGTAGATTCTGGAGCTGAAGCTCTGATGCAGCTTCCTACCTCTGGTGTTAGTCAACTCTTGCCTCTCTATATCCTTTTTGTAGCCTACTTTAGGGCTAGCTGATAGTTTAAGGACAGACAACAAGCAGTAGCAAACAGGGATAGGGAGAGTGGAGGGGCAGGTGGATGGGTGATGCAGCTTTACCGGCTACTCGGCAACAGTAATACGTTTTTTAAACTTTCTTTGTCAAAGTAATTTCTGGGGCTGATAAAGTTATAGTGAATGACCGTGAAGAACTGTGTCTAGAATAAAGAGTATAGGGATGGATTTGTAAGGTAGGTGTTTGACAGAGTGGACCTGCTGGTCTCAGTCATCTGCACAAGTTCAGAAGGTTGGACTAGATGATTGTGGTACCTTCTGGCTCTCAGAATTCCCTGCTACCCAACTTCTCCTCCACTGCTTACCTTAGCTTTCCTGACTTGGCCTTCCATGCTGCTCTGTGGCCTTAGCCCATGAGGGCTTTATGCTTCACTGTCTGCCATAAAATTTGCATTCATAAGAGTTCATTTGTGTTCACTTTATTCTGAATACGTTTGAATGAGGCTGGAGATGCACCTTGGTTAAAATATGAGCACTGATGATTGTGAGGGTTGTTATTACTCTTAACTTCTCTTGACTGGATATCATCCTAGCCAAAGCATTATATGCTGAAACATGCAGGAACTTCTCAGGAGCTAAGGATCAAGGGGGTTATTTCTTCACAGCCCCTTTGTGGGGCTCATCATCTCTCAGGGAGGCTCTTGGAGGATCCTGCAGCATTTGTGGTGAGCCAGAGATGGCAGTGGCATGTGACTAGATCTGCCTCTGCTGTCTTCTCTCCCTGGGAGAAGACGGGTACCAGGAACCTCCCCTCAGATTGCTGCTCTTTTCAGAGTCATGGGTAGCCTCTATTCCCAACTTAGGGGAGGGAGAAAAAACCAGGGAACCTTCTATGTTTCGGTCTCCCTCTGTCCTAGCTGTCTGTGGCTACTGTTCATCAACTTTAGCTTGTCTTCCCTCCCCGACTCACCATTTCTCCTCACTTCCTTGTTCCCCCTGAGCCAGACTTACATTTCAGTGGCGTAGATTGAGTACTCTCTATACAGATTAAATTGTGATTGTCAACCACCCTGTTCAGCTGGGCAGTGAGTTCTACATCTGTGTTTGTGTCAGGTTCCTGTATTTCCCTCTACCCCCCAAATCTTTCTACATCCTTGAGAAGTTTCTGCATGTTTCATAGTATGTGAGCCTTTTTGTTGCTCTTGTTGTGTGCTGTGGAGTCAGTTCCAACTCACAGCGACCCTGTACAGGGTTTCCAAGGCTGTAAATCTTTACGTGAGCAGAAAGCCTCATCTTTCTCCTGCGGAGCAGCTGGTAGTTTCGAACTGCTGACCTTGAGGTTCGCAGCCCGATTCGTAACCACTATGGTACCAGAGCTCCTTGAGCCTTTTTGTAGGAGCTATTATTGGTCACTTGTAGGTTGCTTTGAACAAGTGTATTTTATCTGGAGTTGAAGAAAACTTGACACACTGAGGAGGATTTTTGTGGGTGTTGAGAGAGCTTGGGCAAAGACCACATCTCTTTTTGTGTTAGAAGTTTAATATATTACAGATATATTAATGGTACTTGTCTCACCCTTTTTAATCTTACATAGGTCAACGTATTGAAGCTTACTGTGGAAGACCTGGAGAAGGAGAGAGATTTCTACTTTGGAAAGCTAAGGAACATTGAATTAATTTGCCAGGAGAATGAGGGGGAAAATGACCCTGTATTGCAGAGGATTGTGGACATTCTCTACGCCACAGATGTATGTGTTGACATGAAGGTGTTTCCTCGGTTTGCCCATGGGGGGGGGGGGGACACCCATTTTATCTGCATGTTTTATTTATTAAATGTTGTCTTGCTCCAGTGTAGCATTCATCAAAAGGCCACCTCTACATAGCCGCAGTCCTGTCTTGATGTCTGTCAGCCTCTGAGGCAGGAGTAGGACTAGGAGCTGGCTGGCTAGCTGGCTCTGCTTTGCTAGTTTGTGGCCACTGATAGGTGGTGGGTGCCAGAGACCATACCCCCCCTCCCCCCCCATCTAAGACCCCTCAGCCCGAGGGCTCCATTTCATCAAGGCCTCAGGACTGCCTTGGAGAATGGTCCTTCTCTTGTGTGTGCTGCCCCACAGCTCTCAAAGTGTCCCTTTACGCCTCCTTCCCAGGACTCAGCTGGTTTCCATTCTCTCATAGTACTTGGTTTCCTTGGGCCTACGTGCACGACACAGCTGAATCTGCTATTGTTGATCATGACGTGCTAGCTGCTCAGGAAAGACAGACTTTTCCTAGTTCAGAACTTGGCATCTTGCTGTGTTCACTATTGAATGATCTTAATTATGCAAGCCTAGTTCTGCTGTGGTGCTGCAGGATAATACACTGGACTGCAAGGTTGGCAGTTCAAACCCACCAGCCACTCCTCGGAAACCCTATACAGGGTTGCTATGAGTCGGAACCGACTCAGTGGCATTTAACAGCAACAGCAAGGTCTAGAGGATCAAGTCAGAATTTACATCTAACTTTTTTATAGTTTTTGTAGCACACTGTGCAAGTATAAGGTATTGTTAATGCTGTTCTCAGTGTCCTTTAAACTTGTAAATTTTGGAAGGAGTTAAACTGAAAGTTGATAGATTAATAAATATTTTAGGCTTGTTCCGTGTTAGATAACAAAACAAAGCCTGATTAATCTGAGTAGTTTTTTTTTTTTTTTAATGTTTTATTGTGAATTATGTGATAGTTTACATGGGAGAGCATTAACAGCTTTACATTCATCCTATCGTATATCATTTCATTGCCATGATTACAATCCCATTCATGCATCATCAACCAACCAAAGGGTATATCCTACAAGCCTGCCCCCACCCCGCACTCCCCCCACCCTACTCCTGGTCAGCAGCACAAAGACCCTCCTTCTCTGGGTCTAGAGTCCCCAGCCACTCCATCTCTCCACGTTATCATCTCTGCCTCCATCTCTGGCGTCACTGCTTCTCTGGGTAGGGTCTCACACTCGCTCTTCTTGGTTCCAGGGACCTCGGTTCCTGGGCTGCATGGTCAGTCACTCCCCTCCTTTTGCTACAAAACGTCCACCTTTACATTTCCAACTCTCACAGTCAGTCCTGATAACAGTTATTCACCAGTGTACCACAAGGGACTGAGTAATGTTTTTATGGACTACACAGCTTAGTAATGCATCTTTAGAGATTTATTTACTTATTTTTTATACAAAAAGATGAATGTATGAAAGAGAAACCTGAATTGTTGGTAGTGTAATCATTCCTTGCATAAGTACCTGTCAGTGTGAGTGTGTATGAGGGTTGGAGTGAGGAGGAGTGTTGGTCAGTCTGCTGCTGAGGGTGTTTTTGCTTAAGTCTGATTCCTAACATGCCAACTACTTCTGGGACTTAATCACTCAATCAAAGAAGAGCTAGTTGTGTAGGGCTTACTTAGAGGAAATGGTATAGTGCTACATTTTATGAATGATATTTTTATGGTAAATTTTTATTTTCAAACAACTTTATTGAGTTACAATGAATGCATGTTTCAAATGTGCATTTTGATAACTAGACATATGTGGAATAATCAGTCATCAATGCACATAACTGTCACTCCTAAGAATTGAAGAATACATTTGATTGTGCTCAGTTTCTGCTTTATATGAGATGTGATTCCACTGCTTAATAAATAACATTGTGATCACCTATCCTACGTTAAATCAGGGCTTCGAATTGGTTCGGTCGAATCTGAACAGACTCAAATTTGTAAAATATCTGTGTAATGCACTGATGACAGGAATGGGGACAATGGTGAGTGGAAGCCCTGGAATGGGAGCCTTTGAAGAGGCATAGTGAGTCCTTTTGGGAGATTAGATCATGCCAGGACTGGAGAACAACACACATCTGAAGTGGGGCGGTCTTCTGCCATCTTTGAGCTAGGTACTACTGTGTCTGACTCTGTGGTCTGGAGATTTGGTTACTATGCAGTGTGCACTCTGCCCACGTATAAAAGAGAGATTAAGTTTCTGGCAGGTTGTTGACCTGCAACTTGTCTTGTTTTGGTTATCATTCCGGTACATCCTCATTTTGCAAATTTGAGTCCTTTCGGTGTCGCTTCATTAGCCATAACTGATCTGAGAAGAACCAGATTGAAACCCTGGGTTAAATGCCAAGTGCATGATGGAGACAGGAGGAACCTTTGACTTAGAGAGGCTTTAAAAGTGAGCCAAGTAAGCCCACAGTAGAAAGTGATTCTTCGTTCAATGTTGAGTAATAGCCTACCCTTTTCCTTTTCTCATTTTAGGAAGGCTTTGTGATACCTGATGAAGGGGGCCCACAGGAGGAACAAGAAGAGTATTAACACCCTGGACCAGCAGAGCACCATCTGAATCCATCACTCCAAATCATGTGTAAAATACTCCCTTTTATGAATCTTAGAGGACTCACTGGTTTCTTTTCTTAAGCAAAAAGTACCTCTTCTTAAAGTGCACTTTGCAGAAATCTCACTCCTTTTTCCATGAGTTTGAGTTAGGAGCTTTTATCGTGTGGCAGAACAGTATTAGCATCGAGTGGGCTCACCTAGAGAACACAGAGGCTGACTGACCATGGGGCTCACCATGTGGTTGCTGGAGAAGTGTCCATAGAGAAATGGAAAGACTGAATGAAATTTTAAGCTAATGTGAAATCTTGGCAGAGAACTTTTAATAAATAAATGCCTTAAGAGTATTTAAAATATGCTTCCATATTTCAAAATACCAAGTGTAACTTGACAGGAGATTTTGTGTGTTTGATATTGTTTGGAAAGGAAGGGCCAGACCTTGGAACCTTTTTTTGGAACCTGCTGTTGCTAGGCCTTGTTAGGGCTGCTTGACTCCTTGGAGGCCTAGACATTGGCCCAGTAGGAAAGGGTTTCTCTGTAAAGTCATTTAGTGTCACTGATCAATTGCATTCCTGCTAAAAACAAAAGAGGCATTGTTGTCCAAATGAAGAGAAGAGTGTATTTCAGCTCTGAGATGTTTGAGTTAAAGAGCTTGATTTTCAGTGAGCATTTCTCCTCATGATTTTTTCAATTATCCCCCAAATTTCTATGTATTTTGTGTGTGTTTTATTTTATTTTTTTGAAATTTAAGGTGTGTCCAGTTTTTCAATCTAACAGCTACTCTTGGGGACTTGCCCATATCTGTGGGAATTGAATGGGGATGTGTCCCATTTTGCTGCCATTTAAGTTTACATTTAGCATGTGTCTCTTCTCTACTTCCCTTGCCCACTGGGGACTCCTCTCTGTTGGCTCCTTAAAGCTTTCTGCTTAAAGTGGAAGGACAGCAGACAGGTGATGCTGCTGCTAGTTCTTTCTGGACCTCTGGCAAAGGGAATGGGCTCTGCAGGCTCGGGTGGTTTCGTTATCGGCTGTCCGCAGCTCTCCATTGTGAACCGGAATGCTTTGCCAGCGCACTAATCTCTTTGGAGATAAAAATTTGTTAGCGTGTTACTAAATGTTAATTTTCTTTTGCAGAAAATGCAGTACCATGTTTGATTTAATTATTAATATTTAAAAATATTTCATTCCTCAACTCTCCATCATTTACATTTTTGCCCACGGCCTATTCAGTCTTTTGTTTGGCAGAATTCTGCAAAATGTGTGTCACCCACTACTGAGATTGTTCAGCCCCTGATGTGTTTGTATCGATATGTTTCTGGTGGTAGCTTGTCTTATAATGTGTGTAGAAAGCAAGGTATTTTATGATAAAATTGTTGTGAAGTGCATGCTCTGTGTGGAATTCAGAGGAAAACAGATTCGTGATTAACAATGCCAAAAAAAAGGGAAAAAACCACCAGTTATTTGGCCTTTTTTCAATGACAGTTGTGCTATTTCTCTTTTGTGGCCTTTTAGACTTTTGTTGCCCTGAAATTCCAGGATATTGGGAACCCATTATCCACCTGGTCTTTCTTGACAGGGTTTTTTTCTACTTTAAACAGTTTCTAAATAAAGTTCTGTATTTCAAGAGTGTCATGTCTTCTGAAATTTGTCTTGCCATGGGTATATGCTTATAGGTTAAGCGATATGGTACCAATACTTACTTAAATTGGGACTGCTCTCTTGAATTCCCTCACTGTTACTCAGATGTGTTTATTTCTACGTAAGCTTTCTAGCCTCTTTATTCCTCACATTCGATTGCTCAGCCTCTCCTGATTTTATGTTCTCCTATCGCTGTGAGAGGTTTTTCCTCCAGAGAAATGCAGCAGAACAGTGCTTGGCAACATGACTGTGGGGATATGTTCTTCTTTTTGTCCTATAGTTGTTTTAAAGCATGAGCAGTCTTAGCTTAGAAAATAATCTAAGATTGTCACCGTGGATATTTTCCTCTCTTTAAATTCTACGTCTCATAAATGAGTTCAGCAGCTCAAAAGGAGAGTTGCTGAGTTTTCCGGTATTACATAAAGTTAAGTGGGCAGAGATTGCTGTTAGTAAAAATTTCAGAGCACCTCTCACAATTCTGGATGCTCTTGAAACCCTCCTTGATGATTTTGACTAGGGTTATACCCTCTGGTACTTGCACTGGAAATTAATGGCATGATACCTTTCGTTGAAGTGTTAATACATTCTCACAAGGGTATTGCTAACCTTGTGTGTTGCTCATCCTCAGAAGAGACCTCTCAGAGGGCATGGAGTTTGGGAAGATGCTGTTGGGTGACATCAACTGAGAAGCCACCTTGGTTAGCAGTGAAGCTGTGAACACAGTACCTTTGTCCTGAGTCCGCGGACCCTGGTGCTCCTGATTGTGACTACTTCAGGCTAGGTCCTTGGTGCTGAGTAAATTCTGAGTTGCATGGAAGCTAGGTAAGAGTACAGGAAATTCCTACCTAGAAATTCTGAGTCAGGAGATTAAAAATCGGCATTATACTCTGTAGATCAGGTGACCTGGGCATGATGTCCTCAACCCTATACTTTGAGAAATATTGCCTTAGGCTTTACCATCTGCCTGCAGCTTCAGCTCCCCCTACCAGCAGGGGCAATACTGGGTGTGAGTCCTTGCAGTAGCTGGAAAACTATAAAATGAGGCAAGTTCATATTTATCAATGCATCTTCATAACATTTCTTTTTATTTTCACATGTGAAATATAGCTGAGTGTACAGAGCCCTTCACTAAAAGACAGCCTAAGAAGGGATTCAGGACTTGACATTGAACTTGGCTGTAGTTAGAACTGTTAATTAACATAGATGACTTCAGCCAGATTATTATGGAGCTATAATTTCTGAAGGTCTGTTTCACCTTTGCTTTAACCTGAATTTGGAAGTAATGTCTCTATAGAAGTTATATTCATGTAGCTTCATTTATGTAGCTGTCTAGGCGCTGCTAGGTACCGTCCAGTTGGTTCCTTGTGCAAAGCAGAATGAAACACTGCCCTGTCCTGTGCCAACCTAACAGTTGTTGCTATGCTTGAGCCCATTGCTGCTGCCACTGTGCCAGTTTGTCTCCTTGGGGGTCTCCCTCTTTTTCGCTGATTCTCCACTTTACCAAGCATGTTGTCCTTCTCCAGGCACTGGTTCCTCCTAATATGTCTGAAGTATGAGAGACAAAGTCTGGCCATCCTGGCTTCTGAGGAGCAGTCTGGCTGTACTGCTTCCAACACAGATCTGTTTATTCTTTCACACTTTGAATATTCTCCTCCAACACCATAACTCAAATGTATCAATTCTTATACCGCCTTCTTTATTCACTGTCCAACTTTTCCACATGCATATGATGTTAATGAAAATACGATGGCTTGGGTCTATGGCCATACCACCCTGAATACTCCCGATCTCGTCTGAAAATACGATGGCTTGGATCAGATGCACCTTAGTCCTCAAACTGACATCTTTGCTCTTGAACACTTTAAAGAAGTCTTGTGTAGCAGATTTGCCAAATGCAGTATGTATATGTATATATTGGGTCCTGTGTGGCACTGTAGAATAAGCACTAGATTGCTAACTGCAAGATCAGTGGTTCAAACTTAACCAGCTACTCCTTGGAAACTGAATGCAGGGTTGCTGTGAGTTGGAACTGACTTAACCACGTTTAACAACTATATGTACATATGTATATATATGGAGTCCTGCTGTGGCACTGCATGTTAATGTGCTGGACTGCAAGGTGGGTGGTTCTAGCTTACCAGCCATTCCTCGGAAACCCTATACAAGTTCACTATGAGTTGGAATTGATTCTACTGCACTTGGCAACAGCAATATATGTATTTTTTTTTTCTCTTTTTATTTTTCCTAAATTAAGTTTAGTTCATTTCTTTTGTATCGGCGACTGAGATTCTGAAATGTAAAATGTAAATTAGTTATTATGAACACACTCCTGCATATGAGTAGTGTGTTGTTAGGTGCCATGGAGCTCGTTCCATTTCATAGTGACCCTATGCACAATCGAACAAAATTGCCTGATCCTACGCCATCCTCACAATTGGTACATTTGAGCCCATTTCTGCTGCCATAGCGTCAGTCCATCTCATTGGGGGAGGGGGGGTCTTCCTCTTTTTCACTGACCTTCTACTTAACCAGGAAGGATGTCCTTTTCCAGGGACTGGTCCCTCCTGAAAATGTCCAAAGTATGAGAGATGAAGTTTGGCCATCTGCACTTCTAAGGATCATTCTGACTGTACTTCTTCCACCATAGATTTATTTGTTCTATTAGTCCAGGGAACTTTAAATATTCTCCAACACCATAACTCAAATGCATCCATCCTTCTACGGTCTTCCTTTTGGGGAGTATGGTGAGAGTAATTCTTTGTGTGCGACCGTTTGCAAGCAAACCAGGCACCCATGAAACGACTTTGTAAATACCATCAACAGAAATTTAGAATTGCAAAATGATGCATCAGCAGGTTGGAAGTCATTAAGGTATATTGCTTTATGTATTTTTGTTTCTCTTTCCCTTTTTCCTGGTTGACTTTTATTTTTTGCTGTTGGTGAGGCTAGGAGGCTGGGTATAGGTACTGATGTCTTTTAGTTTAACTTTTGGTTTGGGCTTTAGGGCTCTTAACTGGTTTCCAGTGGGAGCAGAGTTGAGTTTCTAAGATAAAACACCTTGATGGATGATTCACAAAATACAGTATAGACGGTTAAAGTCCAAGGTCAAGCATATGAGTGGGTAAACTGTATTAGCTGGGGGGTGGGAGGTGGCCTTTAACAAAGTCAGCGAGGGAGGGACACATTGCTGCTGTGTGAAGGCCATGGATTAGGAGCTGAGACAGCAGTCCTGCAGGCTCTGCATCTCAATGAGCCAGCAGATGGGCATGGCTGGGGTAGCATCTCTTCTGGTTCTGAAGAAGTTACTATATCTGTAAAAGACGGTAGGCTAGTGGAGTGAGAAAGTAGGAGAGTACAAAATTCCAACAAATGTTGCTTCTGGAGGTAGATATTCATCAGTTGATGGGCAGTTCAGGTTCAAAGTAAAGCACAGTGTTTTCTCAGCATCAACTACATATATCTTGGCGAGTGGAGTTTAGACCGTGGTTCAGCACATGAGTTTGACTTTTTCCCACAGGCTTCAAACAGCAGGGAGAGTTGCCAGTGCACCTACCCCCAGAGTCTCAGTGCTGGAATCTCTGTGTGTTCAAATTTCCTCCACAGTTTGTTGTGG